CGTATTAATTTTAATCTATAGTGTTTATTGTTTCATTATAGGTATGGATTTGTTTATTCAATTTTTATGATTTTTTCCAATAACAAAATGTCAATAGATTAATATTAATTTATAATTAAATACATTAATTTTTTAGTCATCATATATTTCAAATCTAATGTAATGGATCTACATATATTATTATTACTATTATTAGGTACTATAATAGTTTAATATCTCAAAAACTATTTATTCGAATTTTGATACATGGACATTTTCAAAAAACCCAACGACTTAACAATTTACAGGAAAAAAGGTGATTATAATTTAATGAAAAAGAGTACGTGAAACTTCTTTCTGARTGGTTGAATTAGTGAAATCCAGCCTTTACATAGGTACCTATAAAAAATAAGAGGGTAAGAGGTTAATAATAAGAACATTTTGCGTAAATAGTTTTGGTATGACTTAAGTTGATGGTTTATAATGTTCTGAAAACTGTGATTGCCTTGGGATATAAGATGTTACGCGTGACCCAATTGTCTTTTTTTAGAAAATTTGTATAAAAATAATATTTAAAATCAAGGCTGGGCAAGTTAATGATTTTTTTTTAACTCAGTTAATTTAAATTAAAATCTAAATCAAGTTAAAAGTTAATTCAAAATGTTCTATCAATTGAATTAAGTTAAGAGTTCACCAAAATTTAATATGAACTTTTTAACTCAAGTTAAGTTAAAAAAAGTTTCTTGTTTTCTTATAGGTAAAGTTAAAATAATCGGTACCTAAAATTGTTCATGTTATTAGACCAAAGAACTATTACTATTTTATGTGTGCAAAAGCTAACAGTACACATTTTGTTAGCATACTTATAACCTTATAAAATGTGTACCTACCAGCAATTTGTATTCCTACAATAGTTCACAAAATTTTATTTAATTAACTTAACTTTTTTAAATGTAAAATTAACTCAAGTTAATTAAAAGTTAATTCAAAAGCTTCTAAAGTTATTAATTAAGTTAATAAACATAAAAAAAATAACTTATTAAGTTAAAAAGTTAAATTAACTTAACTTTAACTTATTAACGCGTTAATGCCCAGCCTTGTTTAAAATTGTTGGTTAAAATACACATCGGTCATCGGTATTATAAAGATTTTCAGGTATAAAGTTATAAACATACTAATAACACACTTCTCTCTCTTATCTCGCCTYTCTCACACTTGTTACACTTATAGTCTACGTCTACGTTAATATTATGTATAGCATACTTATCACTTGAATTTTCCTTCAGAAATAATTATTTGTAAGTACATATCAACATAGGTATCTGTTTAATATTTAATAGTACCTACCTACTTCTAACTAAAATTCTTTATATACTTGTTGAAATTCGCCAAAAGTTTGACCCACATAAAGTTAGAAGCACAGCCATAACATACACTTATGAAATACATCAAACATTAAAATAGGTTAAATATTTACCATAAGTACTTACTAATTATGAAATTAGAATTTTAATTGAAAATGTATTCACATAAATACTCGTACAGAAATTACGTACTTCATTGACTGAGTATTTTATATACATGTGGGTTTCATTTTAAAATGAAGTTTTACCAACCCACTAATAAAGAAGTTCCATACCTTCATAGGTACTTCCGGGAAATCCACAACGCAGACTCGAAAGGAAATAGTTCTGTGACCATTTAAATTAAAAAATGTCTCTCCTCAGTTGATAATATTATATATGCCAAGCTACAAGTGTCACTACTAATG